ATGGCATTGTCACGCTCTATAGTACCATTCACTTTCCTGCACAAAACATTTCATCACTAAGCATAGAGGAGGAAAAAGAGGCAGTATTCACTTTTTTCTTCCCTTCCTAACCTCGTCTCCCCCTTTATCTAGCACCTGGAACAAGAGAAACATGAACTGAGGAGGCGATTTGAGAACAGAGAAGGAGAATGGGAAGGAAGGGTGTCTGAACTGGAAAGCGATGTGAAGCAGCTGCAGGATGAGCTGGAGAGGCAGCAGGTTCACCTGCGGGAAGCTGACCGCGAGAAGACACGGGCTGTCCAGGAACTCTCCGAACAGAACCAAAGACTCCTGGACCAGCTCAGCAGGGTGAGTCGCTGCGGCACGGCATGGCACGGGCAGGCACTCAGCCACCTGGGGCACAGGAAAGGCTCCCTGTCCTGCTATAAACCACCTTGCAGGCAAATGAGAAGGAAAGCTTCCTCTAAGGGACAAAAAGGGTTCTGCATCCGGTCAGATATCCCTATGCTGCCTTTAAAGTGAATGTTACACCTTTAAGGAGTGCTGCATGTCATTGGCCAGAGCTATGTTTCTGGGTTGAGTGGTCATTTACTGCATAAATGTCTCAACTGGTTTTGTATCCCAAACCAATTTACAAAATCTGCTCCTGCTTTACAAACAGGCTGAACAAATGTAGCATGCAAGAAAAAGGCTGATCTGTGACAGCAAGGTGAAAGGGGTTTGCCAGCCTCCCTTTTCTGACATACATTGGCTATAATGTTGTAGAAGGGACATGCCATGTCATTCTCTGATGGTGTGTCCCTGCAGATGACTTTGCTGTGGTTAGATGTGTGAGAACCTGCTGGAATTCCTCAGAATGGCACATTCCAGCAAAGAGCTTAACTTGCCTCTGAATGAAGGAGGATTTATAATGAGACTGTTACAAATCAGACAGATTGACTGAATACTTCCAGCATGGTTGTGAATTGTAAAATTACTCAGAATTTTACCTGTCTTCTGGAATTAAACCCTTGGCTTCCTCTCCCCACCTGGACAGTTACTATAAACCATAATTTTCATGTTTGAGAACACATTCCAACAGATTTTCTTCCCACTAATTGCTTATCCCCAAAAGAGCACAGAACAAAAGCACACACCACAGGCTCATGCTGAAGAGGCCCATCTAATGTTGTAAGAGCGTATTTCAGGCTAGATTCGGTCAGAGGTGAGGCTCTGGGCCTGACACAGGGATTGCCTAAGGGCAGATCAAAACCTCCATCACAACACTAGGACCAGAAGGCTCTGAGAGGGGCCAAGTGTAGAGGTCTGGGTATTCAATCTGGGTATGCAGTTTTCCCATGCCTCTGGAGGTGGGAAGAGCAGGTCTTGGGTATAACACTCTACACTGGCACTTGAGGAAATCATTCCTCAATCATTCTGCTATAGGTTTTCTTGTCAAGTACTAAATAAGCCACTTAGTCTGCAGATTTGTTTTTTACCTGGGTTAAAACAAAAAACACCACCCACCCCCTAAAAAACCGAACCCCAACAATGTCCTTAACTCAGGAACATCGCTAAGTTTACCCATGTTTTTAAAGCAGTATCTCTCACGTGCAGTAGATGAGCTAGTGAAGATCTTTCACCTCTTCTCTAGACAGAGCATGTTTCACATACAACGTGGATGAGAGAGTCCACCAAGCCCTTGCAGGGCTCCTGTGTTGTGTCAGATGTCCTATCCAGGGCTAAGAACACGTCTCCCGTCAGATTTGGTGACCCTCAGTGACTTGCTGTGTATGCATGATTTCCATCACCTGGTGGGAAATACAAGATTTGTTATGGCCCCAGCATGAGCACAGAAAGAAAGATCAGTCTCGAAGATAGGAAAGGAAAACCAGACAGCTTGCTTTAGGCTTTAAGCTGCATGGATTATCCTTACATGACACCTGTGCTACAGGAGCCTCTCCCAGCCTAGATGCTCAGACAGCTGCTCAGCTAAGCCTTGTGCAAAAGAACCACCCAGTTAGGCCTACCAGCGTGCATTGTCCAAGCATGGGGTTTCTTCCTTTAACCCCCTATTACTACCAAAAAGTCTTCATCACCCACTTCAGAACTGCCATACCTGGAAAAGACCTGAATCTTGGTGTTGCCCTCCCTGTCCCAGCTTGGAGAAGAGGTCAGTTGTGCTCCAACAAGGTGGATACACTTGTGGAAGCACAACATGGTGCTCATTGAGCGTGTCACCTAGCAAAAACATGCTAGTAACTCAAATATAGCAATGGATCCAGCAAGGGTGTAAACAGACTTCCTAGAATCAGGAGAAATTAGAGCAAACTGAAACAGAGTTGGAAACAGTCTGTTATCATTCACCCAGAGCTTTTGTTGAGGCTTTTAAAATCTCAGCATCATCTTAGCACTTGTTTACTGGTGCTCAGTATTCCACATTTGCTGCTCCAGAGTGCAATCATAGTCTTATTTGTGTGGTCTCTCATTCTGAAGAAGTTATGTATGTAAAACCTGAGGCAGCTTAAACCCTGCATCCACATAGTTCTGGCTCCTGCTACTGCTTAGGCTCTTGGTAAACAAAAAGGACTAGCACAGTTGCATGGATGTGCTTGCCTAGTCATACTGCCATAGGCTGGAGTCTTGCTAAGGATTGTGAACTGAGCACAGGGAGAGAACAAGCCCTGCAAAAGAAGCGCTGTTACAGCTTCTGTGAAGTTTGTGTTGCTGGTGTTCTCCTTGAGTTCCTGGCTCTGAATTTTCCACCTGCATTTTGTGTCTCAATGGGTTGTTTGGAACAAAAGGGTTATGAGAAGTCTGGAATAAGGCAATGAAAGCCTTACGCAGAGCCTCAACTCTGCTCCACCTGACACGGTGTACCTTGCTAGAGGCTCCCCTCAGGACAGGAAGACAGGTTTCTCTCTGGTAAGAGTCATTCTACACTAGCAGGTACTAGCTCTTTAAACTGGAGTTTCTAGTTTTCAGCAATTAACACCTTGTGGCCCAGTTTCACAACACTTGAGCATCTCTCTCCTGGGGAAGGCATTCCTGTGGCACTAGGCTTTGTATGTCAAATGGCAGTCTCAGCCTCATGAGCTAACAGCCTGCACAGTCCAGCTTTGCTTCTTCTGAGGCTTCAGCCCTTTTACCTCAAAGCAGGACAGCATCCACCATCTCCTCCATCCTCCCCCTCCTCCTTTCGGCTGCTGTGACATTCTTTCATCAACTAATTAAGCTTTAGGACAGATTTTAACCCTGCCTTCCCCAGAGATGAAAGGCCAACTCAGGCACATACATTCTTCACCTAAACCTGGCACAAATGCTAGCCAACCAAGCATACGTTCCCATGCAGCCACACAAGGACAGCAAAGGGCTATCTATATCTATAAAGGTCTGTCTTGCAATTAAAGCACAGGTCTGGAAAAATCCATCCTCAATTCTGGCAAAGACTGATAAGGAAAAAAGGATAAGGGTTTTAAGTGTGTTCCAGTCTCTAAAAACAGGGATAACTTTATTGCCTCAGAGTTGCCAAGAGGCTGAAATAAGGTCTGTTAAATGATTTGAGGTCTTGAGATTATGATCTAGAACTTTACATGCCTAATAATAGTAAGTAGACTTTTTACAAGGGCGTGTAGTGATAGGACAAGGGGGAATGGCTTTAAACTGACAGAGGGTTGATTTAGATTAGATCTTAGGCAGAAGTTCTTCCCTGTGAGGGTGCTGAGGCGCTGGCACAGGGTGCCCAGAGAAGCTGTGGCTGCCCCATCCCTGGCAGTGCTCAAGGCCAGGTTGGACACAGGGGCTTGGAGCAAGCTGCTCTAATGGAAGGTGTCCCTGCCCCTGTGGCAGGGGCTTGGAACTGGATGAGCTTTAAGGTCCCTTCTAAACCAAACCACTCTGTTATTCTATGATAAGGAACTTCGCCTCCTCTTGAAATACAGCCTTTGGTGTGGTTTGCTGCTTTTAGAACAGAGATAATTGACCGGGATTATAATAGTATTAAACTATGTGGAAATTAGGTTGGCTGGACTGGGAGCTCATAGTGAAAGACATGATTCAGATGCCAAAGATCAAGTTTAAGATCTCCACAGTAACCTTACTTTTTAATTTACTAAGCGATGATTAAAATCCCTTCTGCATGTTGAGTTGATTTCCCTCCCCAGCCTCAATACAGCAAAGCACCTAGTAACTTGAAATGGCGTGTCCACACCAAGCCAAATGCTGATTCTACCTAGAACCACAGGTACATAGCACTCACTGTAAATTCGTAAAGATAGAGTCAAGTGCAGTTTTGCCAAGGCTTGGGAATTTTGTTCTGTTTGCAGCTCCTTTAGTCTCTCCCACCTGTTTGAGTTACCCTTTTGGAAGAAAATAAACTAATCCTATGCTTTCTGTCCTTTTACGTTATAAAATCTGGGGGGAGCGGGTATAAGGAAGGGTCTCATCTTACATGTGCCCAGAGCATCTAACACAGCAAGACTCTTGTCCCCACCTTTGGGCTTTTAAAAGCTATTGATGCAAATAACAACAACAAACAGGCCTCTTCCTATAACAAGGTAACATATTACTACTTTGTCAGGAAGTGAATGAAAAAAGACTTTCACACTGTCTCCAAGTGGCTTCACCAGATGGCTTTCCCACACATTTCCTGCTATCAAGCTCTGGGCTCCTGTAGCTGTTTGCTGCATGTAGCTTGGGCGAGGGTGTATCCTTCCCAGTTCAGTTGGGCTTCTTTTATGGTATTGAGCACATAAGGAAGTGATTTCACAATGTCAAGCTCAGGTAGCTTTTGCAATGAAAACCTGTTTTCAGTGGCAGGAAGAAGGGTGACACCTTGCCCCACTGAAATGGCTCTTTGTGTTTAGAAGAGTGCTTGGCTGCCACGGCATCCCTCAGAGGGGCCCTCAATCACCAAGTTCTTATATTCAGTCAGCATCTAGTGCCAACATCGTGCTACAAAGAATGAGGTGTTTCAGTCGATCCCTCTGGTGCAGCAAGAAAACGATCAGCCAGCCCACAGGTCTCCAAAGGAGGTTTTACTTGCCACAAAACCTTCCTTTCAGTATTATTTCAATTGAAGGAGTTTTGTTTCTAACGTCACATGTTGCAACATGCAGTGTAGCTTCAGAAGACTGGCAGGCACTGCCTTTGACTGGAGAAAACCATAGTTTTGAGAATGAGCTGACTATATTATATACTCCTTTCCAAATCACTTGTACTTTAAATACATCATTTTGTGGTCAGCCACGGACAAAAGAGGCAGCTCTGTTGTTAGTTATTGTTTTGAGGAGGTTTTTGTGAATGGTTGGTTCTTGGGTTTGTCAGCATAGGAACAATGCTAGCTTTAAGAAATCCAGACTAATCATTAGAAAAAGCTACTGGAACAAGTGTGCTGGGCAAGGTTCAGTGATTTTGCCATGCTAGAGATCTGTGGCCACTACACTATGAGCTAGTTCGGTTTTAATTCCTTATTTTATCTGTACAGATGCTTAATACAAGCCTCCTTATGTTTCTTGTTTATTGTCTCCAATATTCCAGCAGGAAAACTCCATTGGGATGCTCCATGCTTAGCACAGAGGCATGTCAGTCAGGCTGGATTTAAGTACTGCTTCAGGAGGTTTATTTTTAAGTGGAAGAGGATCCCAAGTGGATCGAAGCTCAGGCTTTGACTTGCCCCACATTTCAAGGTGCAGATCAGTCACTACACTGAATTCTTTGCCATAAAAAACCTCTAGTTTTTGCTGTGGCTCAGTGTTTACTGGACCTATTCAGTGAGGAGTAGCTTACTGTAAGGAATGCCATACTGAATTACTCAGTACTGCATGGAGTCCTGCATAGCAAACCTTGATCTGCATGACCTCTGAGCAGTGTAAATTCAATGGAGGTGAGAGATGGCACAAGAAAAGGCAGCATTCCCTTCCTGTTGTAGGGGCTGAAGCACCTGCTTCTCATGGCAGCTTTAGGTAGGGCTACTCACTCCTTGGAAGATAGGTAAGCCTTTCCAGCATTGCTTTGTTCCTGGCATAAAACACACTTACGTTACACATGGTCAGATGAGACGAAAGCAGATACCAGCACAAGACAGAGCCAAACACTGGGGCCAGGAAACCTCCCATTAACCACATGAAGCACCCTCCAGCTCCCTACCGCTCTGGAGCATCAGCAGATGCCAGCCCAGGTAACCAGATCCCTGATCACTCAGTGAATACTGATGAGTGCACATGCAGAAAAAGCTCCTTCTCACCAGCTATTTCTCCCCTAGCAGTAAGCATTTGTTAATAATTCAGCTTCATGCCACGTCAGGACTGGAGTGCTGAGATTTTCTATGTTAAAGCTGTAAATGTAGGACGTGACTGCAGCTGCATGTTCTCGCCTGCAAAGTCCTTCAATGAGATGATTCAGTGCCCTAGAAGGTAATGAAGAAACACCTTGAGGTCACTGCTGAGTAGCACTCACTTGCCATCCATGTGGGGGAAGGGAGACAGGCAGGAAAAAAGGCTCGGCCCTCTGCTGAGAGTCTTGCCGAGCTTGCAGCACCTATTAACCCCCTTTTAGGATACTCTAAAAAAGCTCCAGGAGCCAACTGGAACACGGCCATACAGATACCAAGGCATAAATGCAGCAAAGACCAAAGAGCAATTTCAGCGAAGATGTGGGGAGGCACTCTATAGAGCTTGGCCAAAGATTTTGCACCCACTCATTTCGTGCAAGACCTGTTTATCCTTTGGTTTAAGTACTGGTGAACACTGAGGGAAAGAGCAGATACATGGGATGAAACAGAAGCACGCACTGCTACTGAACATTAGCAAAGTCCTCCCTGGGAAAGGGTTACAAATTACTATTAAGGTAAAAAAAAAAAAAGAGCATTAATAACTCTGTTGCTATTGAGGCAGCGGAACCACACAACCCCTGCTCGCAGGCAGAAGGGCAGCACCCATGAGCAGTGCCGCAGGTACCCCATCGTCCCTAGGGACCGCGCATCCGTCGCTAGATGATAGCAGCCGCGGTCCCAGCCGGTGATGTTGCTGTGGCAACCGCGTGTGATGCCTCTGCCCGCAGTGCCAGGGCAGTCAGCGGACGCGCTGCTGACGTCCGCGGCAGGCGCGTTGCGGAGCCCCGGCTGCCGCCCCCATAGGCTCGGTTCGCTGCCGGCCTGTGTCAGCCCCGCACCTCCGCTTCCTGCCCTGCTCACCCCGAAATGACCATGGGGATGCCCAGGGCAGCCCCTTGTCCGTGCCACCCACAGCGAGCTTTTGAGCCTGCCGGAGGGCGAAAGGGTTTTGTTTCCTCGGGAAAGAGAGCCCCTTGTAAGCAGGTCAGGCAGCCCACACAGCGGTGACTCTGCCAGGGCTTGGCGCGATGCATCTCCCCTTGAGCACAGCACGACAGACGTGGTTGTGTGCAGGAGCCGCTCAGCCTCCGCACAGTGTACGGCTCATCTCGCATCCTCAGAGGCTTGTGGTGCCTGGATGCAGCAGCAGAGACTGGCCCTGTGAGATGCCCCCAGAGCCCAGACCTCCTGCCCCCCCTACCGTGGGCAGCATTATCAGCAGTGTATGAGCCTCCAGAGCACGATCTAGGACAAATATATGTACTCATAAACACCTGGTAGTCAGCCACAGACTGCTCTTCCCTGCACCTCATCTGAGCCCAGCTGACAGCCCACCTTTCACCTCTAGCATGTGGTTCTGGAAACTACTTCCAGAGTTTCTGCAAGGTTTCTGCCTCGAGACATCAGAACCACCAAACCATGAACACCTGAAAGCAGGAATCCAACAGGAAACTGAACTTGAACTTGTTCTGGGGTGAGGAGATAAAAATCCAAATGAGTCCCTCTTCCCTTTAGCACTGCACTAAATTTCAAGTGGCTATTCTGTGCAGGTCCAGGTTTTATAGGAGCTGTTCCATTACACAGTGGCTCAGAGGTAGGAGCACATGGGCAGAAGATACCCTTTTCAAAGTATTTCTGCTTATTCACACTTGCTGTAAACACTTCCTCCAGGATATTTCAGAAAGTAGGACACAGAAGGTGTTTGCATCCAGCCAGTGCATTACAAGCAAGAACCAGAGCTAAACATGATTGAAGGATTTGCAAATACCTACCAAAGAAAACCTCAATTAAAAGCATTAGATCTTTAAAGAGCCATTCTGGGTTATAAAATTTGCACATCTTGTAATGAAAGTCTTTATTTTTGTTTCCAAGTAGGATTTGCTTTTTCTAAATGCAATTTAGTAGACAATAGCTCAAGAGGGAGGTTTCTTCTACACTGAGTTTTCTTTTTGCCAGCTGTATTAGGTGCTTTCATTGCCTGTTAAATCAGAGGCCCCTTGCAGAACAGCCTAGAACTTAACATTTTGTTTAGAATGTCATTTATCGAAACACAGTTTCTTCTGAGCACAAATCCAGGACTAAGAAGACTCCTTCCTTCATGGACAGGATCCCTAGCAGTGTCTGAGGCGGGGACTGCCAAGATTAGAAGTATTGGGAACATTTCCATTGTTGTTCTCACTATCTCCCTAACTATTCTTCCCTGGAAGGTTCTAATGCTGAAGCATGTAAAGGAAGAAATACTTTAATAGTTTCAGCTGGGTTATGATTCTACCAAGAGTAGCACAGTAATGCAGATGTGTAATCTACGTAGAGCAATCACAGAACAGTTACAAGGCTTGGGGATGAGTACCTAAAGCATCATCACTTGAATTTGCCCTTTAAATACTATTTACTAGTTCCTCTGTGCAGTTAATCTGACAAAAACCATCTGTTGTTCTGTGTCTTCATTGCTTCCCCCTTCCCTTTTGTCCCTCAGTCTCCGTCAACTTCTGGATACATCCCCAGAATCAGTTGAAGCTTAAGTTACCACCAGCCTCAGGCTTTATAGCTGTCTCTACAGTTTTGTTCCTTAAGCTGAATGAGACCATGTTTTCTCTCCGCTCCTTTGGGTTTAGCTTGGTTCCACTTCCAGTATGCCAAGAGGGGGAAGTTTAGCCTTGTGATTCCTTTCTTCTCTACATCCTTAGAGTTTTGTTCTTGAATCCACTTCCAGACTTGGCATGGTTCTGTGTAACAGAGGTGCTCTTAGAAAGCTATTCCATTTGACCACTATTTAGCATAAGCTGTTCATGTCTATTTGTTGAACAAAGCACCATTGTATCTGGTTCCCTATGAGCTCGAATCAAGGAAAACCAAAATCTTCTGCAGCTTAAGTATAGAAAAGCAGATTTGTCACTCACACCAGGGCCATGAGAGAGGTACAAACCTTAAGACTTGCTAGAGGGAAGAGTCTATACTTACAGAAGACAGTTCATGGTCCCAGTACCTTTGTGCAGGTGAAGTGTTTCAGGACCAAGCAAACACCCACAAGTTTTAACAGAAGGGGACCTTTAGGAGACGTACTTAAAGACTTCTCCTTTGATTCTTTAGTTGGTTAGCATATCTTATGTAGATTTTATTGCAACACCAGAACACTGAGGCTCTGAGAGACTAGGCAATAATTGTCAGTCCAAGCTGACAAACAAGACCCTAGTAAAGAAAAAGTCACCTCTCCACTTAGGTTTCAGCACAAGAGTTGGAGCTTTTCTCTTGATCTGACAGAATGGAGATGAATTGGGTTTGTTTTGTGTTTGGATTTTTTTGAAGCATGGATTAGGAATTTAGTGAGCTGTGTCCCATACTGAAAATGTACCCTAAGATAATAGTCTTTTTACTCCATTAGAGAGTTCAAGCTTTATTCTCCATAACCCTTACATAAAGGGCAATGTGTATGAGTTGGACTTAGACTGGGCATGAAGAAGAACATCCTAGCTATAAGCTTAGATGAATAGGAGAACAGATGGCCCAGAGATCCTACAAGGTCTCCATCAAAGAAGGCTTTTGGGAAGCAGCCAAGTAGTCACCAGTCAGGCAGGACTGGCCAGTTTCTGCTTTGGCATGGGCAAAGTTAAGTCTGAAAGAGGCCATCTGAGGATTCTCTTCTATGCAGGCAAGAATTTCAGTAACATCAGGTCTTCTTGCTATTTATGAATAAGGGAAGAGGCAGAGAAGCTTGAAGGAATACTCACAAGGAAGAATTGATCTCTAAGGCTTTGGAACAGACTTGCATTTTCACCCTATATGAGCGTAAAGTAACTGAAGGGTGAAAACAAATGTAAACAGGGAACTATTCAGAGGTAGGTTCCAACCTTTGCTTGAATATGAGCTCTTGAACAATCAGATACAGGGGGAAATCACAGTTTCCACCAGATTTATGTTTAGATGAAGCCAAATGAGAAAGCCTGAAATGAATGTGTTTGTTCAAAAGGGATTGTTTTAGAAGTTAGCAGTGTGATACTTGTCCAGGTAACACCTGTTGGTTGCCTATGAAGTTCTGTGGGGATTTGCTAACTCCAATTATTTTTTTTAGGTGTTGCCTCTATTCCAGATTTAGTTCCCCAGGCTTTACTGGATGTTGTATTTCACTTTGTGCACAAAATTCTTCTTAAATATGCTTCTTACTCTTTACTTCCCTCTCTACCTCAGCACAAGGGACCAGGCAACTTAGTGAAGATTAATAAATACGTAAACCCTTAAGAGCCCAAGGCAAATGCTTATGAAATTGAGGATTTCACTAATACTACCTCTTCCTGGGGCCTTTCTGTGCCTGAAGCACTGGAGCAATGGGCACAGGCCCTTACCCTGCAGAGAAGGAGGGCTATCCCAGTCTTGGGCTGCTTTATCAACCTCTATTGCAAGAAACTACTGCTCCCAGATCTGATGAGCTACCCCATATTCATCTCAGTCAAGACAAGGCCTAAAAAACCACTATTCAACCTGCTCAAGCTCATCTGGCTTGCTTTCATGGTACGGAGGAATGAGCTCCACCCAGATGGAGAGGTGGAAAAGGATAATACACACCTGAAACCAGCATTTTAGATCCTTTTCTGCCAGATACAATTGCATATTTCTTATCTTTAAGAGCAACAGTGAACACAGGCACCTCAGGATCACCTGGGCAGCACCCTGCCTTCACATGAAGCCCATGCTGGACATGGCCCCAGAACAAGCATACAGAGAATGGTGCCATTAAGAGCAGGACTGGAGGCAGGCAGAACCATTGCTCACAAGCTGTTTTCTTGACTGGCTGGAGCAGACACACTAAGCACCCTTTTATTTAGAACGCCTTGAAGGGGAGGCAGGTGCCACTGCAGAAACCTCTACTGAGACTGTAGCCATTAATTTTTACAATCTAAACCCCACCTGCAGGGGATTAATAGGTCGATTTACTTCATTTAAAGAGGCCTCCTCCATTCCAGGCATTATCCAACCCAGCAGCTTAGAGGTGCTTACTGAGATTAACTCTGGCACCACGAGACACAGCCCATCAGCTACAGGCTGGCTCTCAGCAGCTTCTTCCTTTCAAGGAAGTCATTTGCATCAGGCTTTCAAAATTTGGGAAATTCCTTCCGTCTTCCCATCCCTCATAATCCTCCATCAAAGACAGTACCACAGACTAAGAAGGTCAAGCTGTGGGAGGGGGATGGAGACAGGCAGCCTTTCTCCCTTCATTACAGGTCACTACCTCAAGACAGGAAGGGAAGATTTGCCCAGTTCAGGCCAGTTCCAGACCAGATAGCTTTAGTGCTTCTGGTCCCAGACACAGGCCTCCTCCATCAGTCTCTGGCCCTTCTCATGGCCAGAGAGTACACTGCCAAGAAAAGGTTTTTTGCTGTGTGAAACACATGATGCAGAAGTTTTTATAAGCATGAACTCTTTCTAATGAAGATATTAGCTCTCCTGCTTCCTTTAATCTCCCTAAGCAGAGCTATAAGCCAGCTCAGGTCAGGGAAAATGGTTTAATTGATCAAAATGCCCCTTC